TTTGAAGATAACGGCTGAGCCTTTGTTCTGCGTCACTATCCAAGCTGCTAATAAACCCACGTCGGTGCCGACAAGGACACACGTCTCCACCAGCTGAAGCCCTGTTTATGAATGAGGAGGGTCTGCGATCACGTTCCCTCACGGTGGCTGGTGGTCACAGTTTTCCTTCTAGTGGCCCCTTCTCAAGTCGTTTGATTTGTTTATTTTTCGGGATAGACATCAGATTTACCTGCTTGGATCACGTTCTCCTGCTTTTGCAGATGTGTAACGTGGTTCCGCCCAGGACATCACCCATGTTACGGCACATGCCTGTGGTTGGCGTGGCACACGCCCGAGTTAACACACGTTGAGTCACAGATCTGAGTGACTGAGTTGGCACGTGGTGAAAATTCTGCTGCGTTGGTCAGGATTTCGGCCAGCCATGTAACGAGGTGCTTCACGTGCTGCGGACAAAGCAGGGTGACACAGACTGTCAGGTGGAATGCATCTGGTGGAGTGACCGTCCCCAAGTATGGGTTAGTGACGTGGGGTGAGCCCAGGGTTCCCCAGCAGGGCTTTGCTGGGGGTTCTGCTCTGTTCTACGTTTGTTGCCACACCTTGTAAAAATGCAAAAGGTGGGAAAGAAAAAGAGGGGGTGGCCCCAACCTGGCAGAGCCACTCACCTGTCTAACTCCTCAGGTAAAAGTAGCAAGGTAGCAAAATGATCTTGACAAACAGGGAATTTTTAGGCCAAACTAGAAATAGGAATATAAATGTACATCCTGGTTCCAATTTTATGCAGTTGCCACAATGAAATACTACAGACGCGGTGGCTGAAAGGACAGAAATGGACCGTCTCCCGGCTCTGAAGGACAGGAAGCTGAGATCAAGGTGTCAGCAGGGCTCCTTCCTCCCGAGACCCCAGGGAGAATTCATTCCAGCCTCCCGTCCGGCTTCCGGCGCTCTGCTGGCCACCTTTGGCGTCTGCTGCGCGCAGGAGCAGCGCCCATCTCTGCTTCCATCCTCCTGGTGTGTGGTCTGCGTCCAAACTGCCCCTTGCCATCAGCACGCCAGTCACGCTGGATTAGATACTTACTCCACTCTGATGTCATCTCAACCAGTTACACCTATCACAACCAAGTGAGGCCACACTCAGAGGCCCTGGGGGGCCAGGGTTTCTGTGCTTGAATTTCGAGGGCACACAATTCAACCCCTAACAGTTCTGCTCACGACAAAACTGCACAGCATAAGTCACGCGAGCTTTGCCTGTGCCTGCAAATCACAAAGGCCTGGAACTCACGCAGAGCCCGGGGCATGGCTTGCCTCTTCCCCATGACAGTGGGGGTCTGCACTGGGAGGACTCACTGAGGACCCCATGGCTGGAAATCACCCGAAGTCTTGGTCACTGACGCAGCCAATGCCTGGGCTGGGACGGCTCAAAGACGAGGGCTGCTGACCCGAGACCACCTGTGTGGCTGGCCTTCCTCCCAGCACTGCTGCCTCCAGTTATCAAATTTCTACCTGCCAGTCCAGGTTTGCCAGGTGAGAGCGCCAGTGAACTGGGCAGAGGGGGTGTTGCCTTTCGTGATCCGGCATTGGAAGTTACAGAGCATCACTTCCTCATGCTCCCAGAGCCATGGGAAGAGAATTTGATTACACCTGTTGATGGGGAGTGGCTGTCATATTGTGGGGGGACACGTGGAACAGGAGATAGTGAGGTGGCATCTGGGGAATGTACAACCTGCCACCAGCAGTCCTCCTCTTACCCAGAGTTGTGAGATCGTCTTATATGGCCTGCCTTTTGGGATTTCCTTTCTCCTTCCCTTCCTTCCCTTCCTTCCTTCCTCCCTCCCCCCTCCCTCTTTCTTTCTTCTTCTTTCTTTCCTTTCTTTCTTCTTTTCTTTCTTTTTTTTTTTTTTTTTTTTTTTTTTTTTTTTTCTTTACTCTTCTTTCTTCTTACTTC